TCTCTTCATTTACCAAATATTCACTGACTCACTATAATGTGCTAGGCACCATTCAAGGCACTGGGAATCCAGGACTGAACAAGACAAAGCCCCTGAGCTCACTGAGTTTAAATCTACAGTCTTTAAAACTCTGTATTGACCACACCAGGGCTTCCCTTCCTCTGAAATGCCACAGATTTTGTCCTTGTGGTCACATCATCATCAACACAGTTACCCAGGCTAGATGTGTGAAAATCATCTCTGAGTTGTCACTCTCCAACTATGTTCACTCACTTAAAAAGTCCTGATTTTTTAAATCCAAAGAATTCCACATGGCCATTCTGTTCTCCCTGTCTCTACTCAACACTCCAGCTTGGGACCCTCATCATGGGTCACTTGGACTGATGCAATCACGTCTAACTGGTTGCTCTGCCTCTGGTCTTACCTCCCTCAAAACTGTCTTCCAGGAGATCACTCATGATTTATTTAAAACAAAAGTCCAATCAGGTCCATTCCCTGCTCATCATCCTTCAAAAGCCCAAGCCACTTCATTTGGCACACAAAGGCCTCCGATCCGTCCGTGCCTTACATCTCTTGTTTCATTGCTTTGCATACTTCCTATCACATGTTTTTCCTAGGTTATCTGTGTGTGTGTGTGTGTGTGTGTGTGTGTGTGTGTGTGTGTGTGTGCATGTCTTGACTCTAAGAACTCAACTTAGAGTTCTTTCATGGCTGGCTGGTACATCTTCATAGTCTCCACGCCCAGCACAGTGCCTGGCTTATAGTAACCCCTTAATCAATTTTTTAACTGAATGAGGTTTCTGCATTGTTTTGCACTTATATGTACCTTTTAACTTAAGCTTTTGTGTGCTTGTGTCTTGCTTCTTCAACCTTATGGTCCATTTCTTTGGGTAGTCATTAGGACTATTTACAAATGTTCCAGTTCTCTTCCTCTTTCTAGGAACATTGTAGAATTTTATTTCCCATTCCCTTAAAGTTAGGGATAGTCATGTGACTTGTCTGGCCAATGAAAAATGAACAGAAATAGCAGCACCACTTCCTGGAGAAAGCATTTAATTGCCTAGTACAACATACTGCCACCATTGCCTCCCCTTGCTGCAGGGGAAACACAAGAGGAAATGGAGCCTGCATCAGCCTGGGTCCTTGAGAGACAAAGATGAGCAGAGCCTCCTGATGACCCGTGCTTGAAGTGTGGCATAAGCAAGAAACAAGTATTACCAATCCACTTCTATGTGGCCATTTATCGTGGTCGCATAACCCTGTCTGTGCTGCCCTCCCCATTCCCTGAGGGCAGGAACTGTACCACTTATCTTTGTGTCTCCATAGTGCCATATTCAAAACAGACAGGAATAGAAATATTGTCTTTAAATTTTGATTTCTGGTTTTTCCTAATCCATAACATCCAATTTCAAATATTCCTCTCTTATCTGTTTCTGCCTCATTACCAAAGCACAATTTCTGCTCCATTTTGGCACAATTATGGTTTCTAAAATATAAAAATTAAAATTTCTAACCGTTTATAATCCAGTGTTGATCACTCATGTAACATTTTGTGGAGAATGCAATGTCTGCCCTCTGATGACTGAAGAAATCCTACCTCTCAGCTGCGGCAGTGCTCCTCAGGGAACGCGAGAAGGAAGGCTCCGAGCACACGCATGCAGCTCTGAGTGGCAAAGCCGGGGGGCTGTGACAATCAGCTTACTAAGGATGTGAGTGTTGCTGCACAGGTCTCTCTGTATCCTCTGCCTGAGCAGATGGCACGACAACATGGCAATAAACATAATGAAAGTTTTCCTCCATTTGTCTTTATAGGCTTTAAAAAACCCTCACTTTTGAGAAGATAACTCTGTGAGAAAAAAAATCCTCTTTCTATGATCTTTATTAATCCACTGTTAAACAATAAACTACTCAAAAAGAAAAGGGTTCCAACACAGATCCCCTTCCTGAAAGAAATGCCTAACATGTAGTTATTTTCTCTGTAATCCTCATGGTGACTTGAAAGGCTTATTTTTTTCTTCCTCATGTAAACGAATTATATATCACTCCAATCTTATTTCATGCACATTGGAACAGCACTAGCTACTATTTGAACTAGTTCACAGAGTTAAAAACAAAAAACTCACAGCCTTCTTCGGTTTTCTTCCACCTGTTAGCAATTCTAACAACGTCTGCTACGTCCTCCTGTAGCCATACCTCCAAATACACCCTTCCATCGGAAAAGGTCCAGCTACTCACAGCCCATCTGTTTAATATCCTGGAAGTTAAAATTAAGCTTGTAGGCACTGTTTCTATGATTATATGTTTCACAAAGTCAATTATAAATTTTCAGCTACAGTTATCAAAACTTTGAATTTTAACTTGAAGTTTTCATTTTTATAAACGCCACGTGTTTCATTTTGGAGGGAAATATGTCTACATTTACCATAACAATGATGTGATTTCCTAAAGATACTTTCTGAAAGACAACCAAATCTTAAAGTTAAAAATAAGCTTATAGAATTTTTACAATGTTTAACAAAATCAATCTAAAGAAAGAATCCAAATTCTTTTCAACCTAAACAAAGTGTTTAGGGACCACAGGAAATACTCTCCAGTGTAAAAATGCATAAACAAACATAGGTTCTCAGGTCTGTGCTACGAACGGAGTAAGACGCCCTGCCCCATATGGCCCCTAACTACGCCCAACAGCAGAAGTCCTTCATTTTCTTATCATGGGCCACTGGGTGGCTTGCTGCTTTGCGCATTTTTAAATCTATCGACATAACACCAAGAAGAAACCACAAAGGAAACTGATCAACCCAAACACACAAATCGTTAAAACTCAATACAAAAATAATACTAAATTAGAAGATCTATAAAAATTAGAATACTTGCAACATAATATCTTAACAGAGAGTGATCTTTTACAAATCAACTATACACACATACACATACAAGAAAATAAAGAATGACCAGTAAACCTATGGGAAAAAGATGGGTTAAGCTCTCCAAATGACATTTTTCACTCAGTATATGAGCAAAGATTTAAAAGCCATTAATAGTATTAGGGAGGGTATATGGCATACTTCTAGTGGTAATAAATATTGGTGCTACCTTTTGGGAAAGTAATTTGACTATATATATGAAAACCCTATAAATGTGGATTCTCTGAAAACACCAGCTCTAACTCAAGGTGTTTGTTGTCATCCAACCATGAGACAAGTGTCCACAAGGATTTTTTAAAAATCTTTTTATTATTATTATTTTTAATTGCAGTAACATTGGATTATAACAATATATGGCTTTCAGATGTACATCGTAATATATTTTGAATTCCGTGTAGATTACACCATGTTCACCACCCAAAAACTAATTATAGTGCAGCCCCTCACATGTGAGCCTAATCACCCCTTTTGCCCTCCCCCTTATACCCCTATGATAACCATCAATCCAATCGCCATTGCTATATGTTACTTGTTGTTGTTTTTATCTTTTACTTATGAATGAGATCATATGGTATTTGACTTTCTCCCTGACTTATTTCACTTAGCATAATACCCTCAAGGACCATCCATGTTGTCAGAAATGGCCGGATTTCATCATTTCTTATGGCTGAGTAGTTTTCAATTGTGTATAAATACCACATCTTCTTTATCCATTCGTCCCTTGATGGGTACCTAGGTTGCTTCCAAGTCTTGGCTATTGTGTATAATGCTGCAATGGACATAGGGGTGCATGTATCTTTATGCCTTTGCATTTTCAAGTTCTTTGGGTAAATACCCAGCAGTGGAATAGCTGGATAATATGGTAGTTCTATTCTTAATTTTCTGAGGATACTCCATACTGCTTTCCACAGTGGCTGCACCAGTTTGCACTCCCACCAGCAGTGTACAAGGGTTCCCTACTTTCCACATCCTCTCCAACACTTGTTTCCTGTGTTGTTAATTATAGCCATTCTGACTGGAGTGAGGTGATACCTCATTATAGTTTTGATTTGCATTTCCCTGATAGCTAATGATGTTGAGCATCTTTTCATAAGCCTGTTGGCCATCTGGATATCTTCTTTGGAGAAATCTCTGTTCAGATCCTTTGCCCATTTTTTAATTGGGTTGTTAGTTTTTTTGTTGTTGAGATGTATAAGTTCTTTGTATATTTTGGATATTAGCCCCTTATCTGATATATGGTTTGCGAATATCTTCTCCCAATTGTTAGGCTGTCTTTTCATTTTGTTGATGGTTTCCTTTGCTGTACAGAAGCTTTTTAGTTTGATGTGGTCCCATTTGTTCATTTTTTCTTTTGTTTCCCTTGCCCGGTCAGATATGGTACTTGAAAATATGCTACTAAGATTGATGTCAAAGAGGGTCCTGCCTATGTTTTCTTCCAGAAGTTTCATGGTTTCAGGTCTTACGTTCAAGTCTTTAATCCATTTAGAGTTGATTTTTGTGCATGGTGTAAGGGAATGGTCTACTTTCATTCTTTTGCATGTGGCTGTCCAGTTTTCCCAATACCATTTATTGAAGAGACTCTCTTTTCTCTATTGTATACTCTTGGCTCCCTTCCACAAGGATTTTTATTGAGGGGATTTTGATACACATACAGATAGAAAAGTATCTGGAAGGATGAATGCCACAATATTAACTGTGATGATCTACAAATAAAACCTGAAAAATCACTAGTTTTTTCCTTTTTATTACTCATCTGTACATCTAAAGTTTCTATAACAAACACCTATTACTTTCGTAACAATCTGTCTCATTTTTATTCTCTTTTTCAGAAAAAGAAAGCACTTTAAAAGCATAGAAATAGTGCTTGGAACTTTGGGATTCCTATCCAGAGTTACTCACAAGTCAAATTTTATTCCAATTGATTCAACTGGGCAGATTAAATGTGAAACACAAAATGGTAGGCTCCCTTACACAGTAACTCTCGCGTCTTTTCTGGTTATTTCCACCTACGTAGAGAATTGTTCAAGGAAGATGTTTACACCCTCATACACGTTCTAGACAATTTTGGCCATGAAGTCAAATCTAAATCTACACATGCTTTATTTTTTTTTAATTTTAATGAAACCAGATATCTCAACATAATTTTTGGGTATGCCGGATACAGCAAGCAGTGGAAGAGAAATTGATGCCAACTTCCCTGAGAGCCCTCAAAGTAAGAAAGCATCTCTTTCCCCTAATCGACTCCTGGTTACATACTGGAAAGTAGCAGCAAGTGAGGGATGCCGAGCCTAGACACAAAAACTGGAACACAAATGTGGACTGTGAGGTAGCCAGGCTGGCAGGTGCAGGGCAGAAATGGCTGCATGCCACAGCAGTAAAACGCCTGTGACATTCACACATTTACAATCAGTTTGGCGATGTTTGCAACTCAGGCTGAGATTTAGTTTTCCCCATATTAGGCAATGACAAAGATTTTAAATGGACCAAACATTTTATACTGGTGTCAACAGCACTAACGCAGCTTCAGCTGGCAGGAGAGAGAAAAACCAAGAGCATCTGCATTATTTACTCCAGAGAAACTAGCTGAACACCATCTGTTCTCAGCCACCACCACCCCCACCCAATGCAGCCCTTTCTATACTACACCCTTGCCACCCTTTTGTGAGCCCCTCAGTCTTGGCCAAAGAACCTGAAGTCCCAGTGTTTCCCTGAATACACGTTTGGAAAGTTAATTTCAACAGAGTGATTGGTAACACAGGAGATCTCTTAATGCTGCAAAGTGTTATTAGTTGTCCAGCTGCAAAAATTATTTGCTCTTCCAACCTTCATTCTAAGTCTAAATGCAATGCTTCTCCTATAGAACATTATAACACAGGAGAGGGGGCTGGAGTATACAGCATAGAAAACCAATATTCTAGCACTCTAGGGTCTATAAACTAGTAGAAGTCATAAAACTAGAATAGGAAAGCTTACTGAATTAGCTACAGGAAATAGGTTGCATAGAGCAAAGACAAGTTTCCAAAACACCTAAAAAAAACCCACACGCGGTATCTCCATTTGCGTCTAGTTGATTTTTACAGAAACAAAGGCCCTTCAGGAAATTAACTGTCCCACTCTGAGAAACCAGAGGAAGAGTATTAGTAAGTAAATCAAGACCAGAGCCAGATCCACTAGTGATTACCGTACTACATTTGATCTGTTTGGACAGTTAAGGAAAATAGAAACATGAGACCTCTTAAGAGAAACAACTCAAGAGCTTTTCATTAAAAATAAAAACAAACCATTTATACAGAAGTAGCTCAAAATTTATTTATAAATTTGTTTAAAAAAGTATAAAAGATTTCTTTTTTTCTTTTGCTCACATTTGTACCCTGGATTAAGAAAATAGAGATTAAAATCTAAAAAGATGCCAAAGCTCCCCCAAACCTGATCTGAGCAGTAGATAAGAATTAGCTGCTTGGAGAGAACAAGCATGTGACGCCCATAGCTCTTGCTAACCTGAAAGCCTCAAATGATTCCCTCCTTTTCTATCCTACTAACATTGCTGTAATTATACTTCCAATAAGAGGCGAAACCAATCAGAAAAATAATGTAACATTTCACTGGCAGTAGAGATTAAATACGAGTTCAGTAATCAGCTCCAGCAGATATGTGTAAATAATGACAGAGAAAAACCAGTCATCCCCAGCTGCTCAGCTGAATGGGTGGGCAGTTGAAGTCAAGGTAAAAACAGTGAGGACAAACAAAATCGCATTAAGGAAAAGCTTCTCGTGAGGGTTTTCAAGGTCAGTTGATGAAGGCCAGATGTAAGTAAATATTTCTCATATATCCTGGAAGAAAAAGAAAACAAGAATTACTACAAGCAGCAAAACAAAATTCGAAGCCTCTGTGGTACCAAAATGCAGTCCCTTCAAAGAACACTCTCACCTACGCTGGACTTAAATGACAATTTTTTAACGACTTAAAGACCCAGTGAAATGATTTCATTCTCAAGTCCCATTGCATTCGATTCACAAAACAGTCTCTGTCAACACTGTAATGGCTTGAGTGACAGCTCCTCAGCTGTGTTCTGAGAGATAGGCTAACATGGGTCACAAATAATAGCGTTCATAAATATTGTCACCCCCCCTCCATAGTTACAGCAAGGACAGGACGAACGCAGTGTGGAGCAGAGCAATTTAAATGGAAATGTATAGAGTAGAGTTGCACTGTTTTATGCAGCAGGAAGGTGACATCTAAGGGGACCTTGAGGAAGAGAGATAGACTAAATGAGTCCCCTCCCCCCAGTCATGTGCAAAGGGTCAAGAAATCGCCATTAAGTTCCTGCAATGCAATGCTGGGCCAAGCTACATTCGAGATTCAGTCTTGCTGTTCTAACCCCTGAGAAATGACAATTCAGGTTGCCTCATAGGTCATGACAAAAGCTTAACTGCCCTTGAAGACACAGGATTTAGAGCTTCCACAAGATCCCAAAGGGTTGTACCTACTGGTATCCGAGAAAAGATCATTTGACGGGATTTTTTAAACGTCCCACCCTAGGTACATCAGGAAAACCAATAAAGACTCTAGAAAACCAAAATCCATTTTCTAAACATAAAATTAATTTCAAATGATCAAACAAGTTTATATTAAACAATATGAGAAGAATGTGATTTAAATGAAAAAAGGCCTAAAAATAAAGACCAGTCTAATTTGTCTACCCAATATACACTTATCAAAGGCTTACGGCTTAAGTGTCTGTATGGTATTTCAAGAAATAACTTTTTCTTTCCTTGACTTTATTCATAGTCTTATCACATTGTCTGCCTTCCTCCTTTCCTTCTCTGTCTTTAGATTTTTACTGGTTCCAATATTTCCTCCAAGCCCACTCTGTGAGTTGGGGCACAGCTCTCCTCTCTCATTCCTTGGGGAGTTCAATCATCATCTATCAACTTCTAAGTAAATGACACATTGTTAACATATTCTGTATACTGACATTTTGTCCACTTGTTATTTACAAAACATGTCCAGGATAAAAGTTTAGTATATGGCTTCTTTTCTTACTTTTGTAAGATGTCCTTTAATGAGCACATGTTTTATTTTAATACATGTTGATCATTTCCTTTTGGTTTATACTTTAGGTCTTATGAAATCTGCCTCAGCTCAATTTTATAGTCTATTCTCTTCTAAAATTTAAAAAAGTTTTCCTTTCTATCTATAAACTTTAATCTACCTGGCGTTGATTTTTCATGAGTGGTGTTAGGACAGGACCTATTTTCACATGGGTACTCAATTGTTCCAACAGCATTTGTTGAAGAGTCCTTTCCCTCAGCGATGTGCTCTCCTTCTGTCATACATCAAAATTCCAGAAATGGTTGGTTCTGCCTGTACCAATTCCATAGCATATTAAATATTGAATAAGTCTCCATGTAGTCTCCTTTATCTTTAGGAGTGAATTGGCTATTCTTGCTTCTTTGCTTTGATTAGAACTTAATTAAATCTCTAGATTATTGGAGAGCACATTCCTATTCATTAACAAGGTATAACTCTCCATTTATTTATTCCTTAATGTCTTCCTATGTTTTATATTTTAAAAAGGTTATGTATACCTTTGATTGGATCTTTTTATTAATTTTTTTGTTTATTCTCAATGTACAGAAACAAAGTTAATTTTTATATACTGATCTTATATCTACCAACATTGCTGGGCCCTTATTTATTCTAACAATTTAAACATAAATTCTTTTGTATTTTCCAGGTAGATAACTGTATCTGTGATTTATAAACTTTTTCCTTTTTAATCCATAAAGGAAATGGTTTTGATATATTTTATTATAAATTTTTGATCCCTTTATTAGCTAAAGAAATTTCCTTGCTATTCCTAATTTGCTGGAAGTTTTTACCACAAATGAGTATTGAAATTGATCAAATACTTTTTCTGTATCTACTGAGGTGATCATATGGTCTTTTCCCTATAATTTATGAGGTGAATTATCTGAGTTTTTTTGTTTCATTTGTTCATTTGTAATAAGCCAAGCTTTCATTTTGAGATAAATTAAATTTGATAAGGATACATTATGTTTTTTAAAAATCCATTATTAAATCTGTCAAAATTTTGTGATGTTTTTGAATCTACGTTTATGAGTGAGACTGGACTATCATTTTTTTTTCTGCATAATCTTTGTCTGATTTTGATTCAAAGTTACATTCACTGGCTTAATCCTTTTAGGGAATATTTCCTCCTTTCCATTTATCTGAATAACTTGCTAAACATTTAGAATAACATATTCCTTGAACGTTTAGTAGAACTTTACTGTAATATGTCTAGGCCTGGTTTTTATTTTGTGGGAAGACAGTAACAAATCAGCCTTGAAAGTGTTTGTATCATTTTGAATTCCCACCGATAATGTGCGAAAGAACCTGTTTCTCCACAGCCTCGCCAACAGAGAATTTGTCAAGCTTTTGTTTTTTTCACCAAATAATAGATGAAAAACGGTATTTTGGTTTAGTTCTTAATTTGTATTCCTTTTATTATGATGAATTCATTGAGAGCTATAATTTCAAAGATTATGTTTTTTATTCCTACAAGTTCTGGTTTGTTCTTTTTGCAAGTTCTCTTGGTTGTCTTTGTCTCGTTTTTGCTCATTGTTTCAAATCCAATATTATTCCATCAAATGTTTTATATGTAGCTATTTTAAATTCAGTATATAATCATTTTAGTGTATCAAATCATTTGGTTCTAAATCCCTCAGTTGTGTTTGTGACCCTTAATCGCAGCAACCTGTTTCCTGTGAGTGCAGTTAAGTTCCAGTCACTGTTTTACGCTTGCGATAGATCAGTGAACAAAACAACCAAAAGGCCCTGCTGTGATGGACAGTCAACAAAACATATGAGTAAATCATGTTAGAAAATTATTTTAGAAGTTTCACAGTGCTGTGGAAAATAAAAAAGTAGAGCCCAGAAAGTGGATGGTAAGAGCCAGGGATAAGGGCACAGATCACAGCATTAAATAGAGGGCCAAGGAAACCTCACAGAGGTAGAATTCGAGAAAATATTTGAAGGAGAACAAATCATATGGATATTTTGGAGAAGACTGTAGAGGAAGCAGCCAGTACAAAACTGTCAGGTAAGACCAGTGAGTTTCTCAAGTTTTCAAAGAACAGCAAGAAGGCTAGTGTGGCTAGGAGGAACGAGGACAAAGTGCAGTAGGAGGAGAGCACCAGAGGGGTATAGTGGGGTCTGGACCATTTAGTACCTGGTAGGCTACTGTAAGGACTTTGGCTTTTACTCCAAACGATTTGGAGAGTTATGGTGGCCATCGGAGGGTTTTGAGCAGAGGAGTGACAGAATCTGACTTCTGTTGCAAACAGATCACTCTCATATTAAGAATAGACTCCAGGTGGGTAAGTGTGGAGGCAGGGAAACCACCTAGGAGACTATTTCAAGCATCTAGATGAGCAGTGGTAGAGGTTGGAAGCAGGATAATAGTGGCGAAGGTGGTGACAAACTGTTGGATTGGATGCATTTTGAAGGAAGAGTCAAGAAGATTTGCTGATGGATCAGCTCGGGGGGGGATGTGAGAGATGGGTTGTACCATTATGCAAACAGGAAAAAGTGCAGATAGAGCATTGGGGTAAAGTGGATCAAAGGTTAAGTTTTAGACATGTTACGGTTGGAATGTCTATTAGACTTGCAAGTAGAGACTTTAGGTAGACAAATGGATATGCAAGTCTGAAGGAAGAGGTCTAGGCTGGAAATAGAAATTTTGGAGTAATAAGCATAAAATTGTATTTAATTTCATGAGAACAAATGAGGTCACTAAGGTATTAAGTGAACATAAAGTAAAGAAGGTGGTTCAACGTGGATCCCCCTGAGGCACTCCAAAGTTGAGAGGAGAGGAAGATACAGGGAATCAGTAAAGGAGAATGAGAAGAAGTGGCCACTGAGACAGGTGGACACCCAGGAGAGTACAGTGTCCCAGAAGCCAAGTAAAGAGTTTCAAAAAGGAGGGAGTGAGTCACCATGACAAATGACACTGATGGTTAAAGGATGAAGACTGAGAAATAACTATTGGATTCTGCAATATGGACATTGTTAGTGACCATGACAAGAGCATTATGGTTGAACTAATAAAGTCTAAATTCTGATTAGAGTGGGTTTAAGAGGAATGAAAGGAAAGAAATTAGAGACAGCTAGGATAGCTACTTCTTGAAGTTTTTTGGTTTTTTGCTGAGGAAGAGTAGCCCTGAGCTAACATCCCTTGCCAGTCTTCTTCTATTTTGTATGTGGGTCACTGCCACAGCATGACTGCTGACAAGTGGTGTAGGTTCCCACCCAGGAACTGAACCCAGGCCGCTGAAGTGGAGTGCACCAAACTTAATGACTAGGCCATGGGGCCGGCTCTGACCCCTTTTAAAGTTTTGCTCTAAACAGGAAAAAGGAAACAGGACAGTAGCAAGTGGGAAGGGAGTATCACTATAATTTTCATTTATTTATATTTTATGTTGCTGGGAATTTTCTAGTTGAGATGCAACATTTGGCTATTCAGGAGAGAGGGGTATGTATTGTTAAGACAAATTCGCCTAGTTGCTGGAGGAGAGAGAATCTGGTCCCCAAGAAAAAGCAGTCATAGAGGGATGTTTGTAGGTAAGCAGAGGTGGAGGTGGAGCCTGAGGAAGTTCTCACCTTTCTGTCACTGCTTCTTTCAAGCAAGGGAAAAGCCAATAACCACTTTGGACTTGGATATGCCTGTCTTACTAAGGAAACTTCAATCATCCTCACTCACAGCACATCATGGGAAAATGATGTTCTTCTCTTTCTATCTGTGAGGAATCTCAGCAGAGACTTATAGCTCCTTTACATAAGGCTGCTGATAGCCAATGGTGAGCCAGATTCCCCAACCCTCATTCCCTTAGTGGCAGCCCATGCAGTATTCAGTTACTCTCTCCCATCATCTTCCCCTCAAGCCTAGGTATTTTTCTAGGTACTCTCTAAATTAGGGGAATTGTTAAGTAGAGGAGAAAATGTGCAGCGAGTTTCCAAGTCCTGTCCAAAATGTGAGTTTCAATCACATTTCACCACTTGTAAATTCTGTGAACTTGGATAACGTCTTAAACTCACAATATTCCATTTTCCACATGATTCCTACTCATACACTCTTAAGAATAAGTCACTAATTTGTCAAATGTAACACAAGATGCAAAGATACTGTGATTTGATTCTTTTCTCTCTCTTCCACATTGTCTCTATTCTGAACGCCATAGTGATACACGTGAGCATACATATGGACAGACGCGTCCAGGATGCATTCTCTGCAAATTTGCCTATATTCATTCATCTTCACTATATACACATTTGTGAAACCTGTCCATAAATTTCAACTACTATATGCCTTTCAAGGAAATATGCATGCAAGATTTCTAACAGATTGTCTTCTGAAAAATGATCTTTTGTCCATGAGTATTTGTTAAAGGGTGATCTTCTCTAGAGTTTCCAGGTCGGCAAGCACTCAATTCTCTTGTTGTATTTTACCAATGTAAAGATTTCTATCTACTTCATTTTTTGAATATGTATAAATGCACTTGGGCTTCAATTAAATTGCAAAACCTCCTGTAGTTAGCTTCGATTCTTTACACATTGCAAACCCCACAATTATATACATTCCTGAGCTTTGGTGCTGGTCCAATCATAGATTGTGCATGCAAAACACATTACACACATATCACAACACAGTTGCAAGGTTTTCTTCACAGAAATCTGTAAGGATATTTCATTTTCAAAAAGTATCTTTTGCTGTAGGGATTTTTTAAAAATCATTTTGTAGTGAAAAATTAAATACTGGTTTCTTTGATGTGCCAGTTTCACTGAAAGAATATATTACTAGAGAATGTTTTCTGTTTTTATAACCACATTTCACCTAAAATCTTCCTGAAAAAAAAACGTTCATTTGTTTTTGTTGCAGGTCTGGGCAAGAGGTGATAAAAAGCCTTACAGTCCAGGCAATCACACTGCGAGCAACGGGCAGGTGTCATTTTTTATGTTGATTGGCCGGAGCTGAAATCAGGACTTTTTCCTCTCTTAGAAGCTATTGTGGAATTTACAGTAATCACCCTGGCTGACTGCCCATCACACAGCTGAACAGCACACCAAAAAAATGATACCTAGGGAGAAGGCCACAACATATTTTTTAAATTCTCATTGTTTTTATTTTTCAACTTTGAAAGATTTTTTTTGAGAAAAGAAAAAACTCACCCAGCTGTTACCAGTATTCATATTCCAATAGCTTCCGAAGTGCTCGAGGCCACCTGGTTGACTTCTGGCTTGGAGTCGGTCCAGAAAAGCATTATTTACCCTTTAAAACAATGAAAAATGTGTGTGAGTGAAAAGCTTGCTACTGGGCTGAGAGATTTTTGAGAACCGAACTTGCTCTATGAACTGACTGTGGGGATTGCTTACCCGCTTCAGCTCAGAAGAAATCTACAGAAACTTCTTTTCACATTAACCATATGACATGCTGTTGACAGCCCTTTGCTGGAGCTGGTGCCAGTCTTGGCTCAGGCCAAAGGGGGCACAAGTTCTTAATTTCAGAGTTTCACTCACCCACCTTCTACCAGTTCTGAAAGAACCTTAGTCACCCAAACAAGCGTCAACTAAGGGCCATGCAAGATGTGAACCCCAGAGGCTGAGGAAAGATGGAAGCTTCAGCAAGAACTAAAACATGAAGAGAAACCAAAAATAAGACAGACATCTCTCTCATATACCCTGTACGCCACTGCCAGTCTTCCTAACTAAAGCAAGCCTCCCAAGTGAAAAGTAGAAGGACAACGGGAAGAGAGTACGGGAAAAGAGAAATATCAGAAGTGGGAAGCCAAGCTTTCAAAAGAAGAAATGGGTACATCTTTCCCTGATGTTCGGTCATACTTGACGGAACAAATTTCAGAAATTAAGTTTAACGTATATGAGGTAAAACTGTAAAGAAAGGCGAGAAAGTGATTCTCTTAAGGGTCAGGATGGGCTCAGCTGTAGGATGATGGCTATATTCTGCTTCTGCAGCTGGCTACCTGGGTGTTAATTTTACAATTAAGCATTCTAAAGGTCTGTTTCATGGACTTTTCTGTGTTACATATTACAATTTTTTAATTAAAAAAAATAAAGGCAACCTCATGCTCTGAGTTGCCCACGTATAGCTGAGTAGAGTCAGGGATGTGAAGGCTGGAGAAACAGCATTGTAATAGGTACCTTATGATGTCAACAGATTACTGTGGAACAGTGTCATTAAGAAGATAAGCATCTTGGCAGAAGCACAGTGCCTGGCACACAGCAGCCACTCAATACATGCTTGTGGAAGGAAGAGGGGGTGGCACCCAGCTACGTTTGCCTCCTTCCTGCCATGAAGATGAGCAGAATCTGGTCATGGTGGGGGATGAGGCAATGACATGGGAGATTTGAGAACTTTAAGGAAAAATGACTGCTGGGGAGCAAAGTCTGAGGCTGGGTTTGTTTGCCTGTCTGTGCTTGCTCAGGGCTAGCGAAAATGCCAACTGCATGTTGACCCAATTTGATCTCTGGCTTGTTGGGTTGCTATTTTCTCAACAACCCTAAGTCCATCAGACAGTGGTTACATCTTAGTTATCATAAAGCTTTTTCTCCTCTCACCATAAAATCTACCCAAGTGCCAAATTCTGGCCATCCTGGGTCACTGTAGAGCTTGATGTTTGTGTTGCCCTTTCTAGACCTCTCAGCATGCAGATTCAACAGTATCTTACTGAGCTGGAGACCTGACTATCAAGGAAGAGAAAGCTGAGTCTGGTCACCCCTAAACAACACAACGATGGTATTCTGGGAAGCCCATGTGCCAAGGGCTGTTTTTATCCAGTCTTTTTGTCAGTAACAAAGAGCAGCTTTCCTTCAATATCCCCCACCCTACCCCACATCCAAACCACAAGTGGTCTTGTTGGCTCTACTCACTAAACACCTCCTGAATTCACCCATTTCTTTCCATGGCCACCATTCTAGTCCAAATCACTGTTCTCTCTCCCCCTGCTTCTACTTCCCCTCCTGCCTTCACTAATCCATTCTCTATACAACCACCTTACTAAATTATAAAACGGATCATGCCTCCCTTTTGTTTAAAACCCTCCCATGGCTTCCCATCAGTCTCAGAATAAAATCACTGGCTTACAAAATCTTGTATTTTCCGGCTCCTGCCTACCTTTCCTACACCATTTCATACTATTCTCTTCCTCCACATCTATAATCCAATCATTTGAGACTCAAAAATTCCAAGCTCACTCTCACTTTAGGACCTTTGTGTTTGTTCTTGTGCCTGATAATATCCTTTTGATGTAGCATCCAGGTATATGTTTTGGCCTCTGATCTCTACGTGAGTGGCTCCTGTTTTTTGATGTCACTTCTTCATTGAAGACCTATTGCCTCCAATCCCTCCCTTAACATCACCCTGTGAGGTGGTCCTCACAGTATGTATCACTGTCTGAAATAATCTCGCTGTTAAATTGTTGATTTCTGTTTCTTTCCTCCAGATTGTAATTTCCATGTGGTAGGGACTCTCTCTTCCTTGTTTACCCCAATTTCCAGTGCCCAAAACAAAGCCTTCAGAGTGTACTCTGATATGTAAAAGGTGAATGAATGAATCATCCAGGTGCATGGTCCCCAACTCTTGCTTCTGTGACTGCAGCTGTATTGTGGAACCACCAACGGTGGTCAGCGTGGGCTGCAAAACAGCTCACTGTGAACTTCCCTCAGTTCACCCAAACACTGCAAAGACTGATGGCTTGTCATGAATACATGAGGTGATGCAATGCATTTTTGAGTATCAATTACTAAAAGGACACAGCACAGTGGTTGAACTCTCCTTGGCACTTTAGGATTGTTCTCGACTGGCCAATGTCCACTGCAGTATGGGTCAACCAGAGATCATGAGTGGTAAAGAAATTGTTTTTCTCAATTCCTATTAAGAATTCAAACAGGAAAAAAGAAGTACTAGTTTATATTTTTGTTTACTAGGTTTAGAAAGTACATACATTTTATTGGTGTCAAATTAGTCTTCTGGATTTTCTTCTAGGGCTTAATTTGGATAAAAACTATTATTCAAAGATGGTTCGTTTCAATGTATCAATTCAGTTTATTCAAGTTTTCAGTTCATGGCCCAGATCCTTGCAAGTCCTTGACTCCCATGACCCTCCTTGCTCTGTTTTTTCTTTCTGGAGTTTCTAATTTTTCTCTTACTCAAAAACTTACACTGGGTCCGGTGCAGTGCACTTGTGCTCAGTCATTTTAGGATGCATTGAGAAGACTGTAAGGAAACCCACAAGCATTCTGTTATAAAACTCAGGGGTGAGTTTTCTGATATATAAACTTCTAAACAGTGAAAGCACATTTTTTTTTGACTCCAATAAAATTATGTCCCTGGAGAAAACCTAACTTATGTCCCCTACACATATACTACCCAGCTCATGCTTTTGGACACAGCTATTTTATTCATTAACAGGCTACCGAATGAGTATTTTCATGATAACATGGCAAAGCTCACTGTAAACTCTAAGGGACAATACAGATATAAGCTTTACTGATTGAAACTATAAAACATGTTTAAAGACTTGATCGGTTATTTCAAAACTGATTACTGAGTTTACTATCCAGAGAGATATCCTTTTGGATTAAATTTGAATCTACATTTAACTAGAATCAATAGAAAGAGAAAATAAAGTGTAGAAAATAGATAGCTCCACCAATAGTTAGGTATTCAGCAGTATGGAAATAAATTTAAAGAGTGAGGGTTAAGGTTCCTACAATAGAAAAGTAATCCTTTCCACCTCTAATCAAATAACTTGTGTTTTTATTGGGTGCCTGTTGAAGATTAATTTCTTAGCAATGGATCCTATTAATGTGACATATCACTATCTTTAAGATGCTTAAAGCCTTACAATCCACTTAATCCTCAGAAATTCAGAAAAATGACCAGCTACCACAAATAACCAGTTAATATAATATCACATTTTTTAATGGAAACATTTTTAAAGAGAAAATGAGAAAAACCAATGAAAAAGGGCTAAACCAATTTATGAGCTACTTTATAAAAAACAGGCTGCAGTAACAGTCCCCCTTTACTCAACAAAATAGCCTAACCAGTGTATCAGAGTTCTGATGTTTCCTCATAATCAGAGAAGAAGACATAAATTCACACTTGACATTTTAAAACTATTTTGACCAGACTATGGGAGCAGCAAAATCCAGCCAAAACAACATGAGCACCAATCCACAGTTAGTGGTTCCAGCAAAACCGGGAGCTTCCGTTAATGCTCTTTAAAGTCTCATTTACAAAATGAAACCACCATGGTTTAAAAATACAAGCCAGCGAGAGTGGAAAGGTGAAAGACATAAAAGAAGCCACTCGGTTTCAAAAGAAGAATGTGCTCCTTTAAATCATGAAAGCCTTTACACTGAATTCTTCTCCTGAGACACTAAAGTGCACTGCAATAAGCTCAAATAACCCAAGTGCCCCTTGGGAAAACTCTAGCATAACAGTGACAGACAACATAGTGGTTATTAGCACTGTCCCATCATCAACATGATATTTCACTGAGTAGTCTTAACATCTGATATTAGGAATAAGATAGAGAGTACTTGAGCTATTAAAAATTACATAATGATTCTATTTTAAGGTTTTTTTTCCCCTAATACCTTAGTCAATGCAAAACAAGTTTAATGGTAGTTCGTGTCTGAACTTTTGTGTTCAAGTATGGGTATCTCACCATCTGTACTAGTCTAATTATTCTAAAGTAGTCTACAAACAGCAAAGCATCATCTCAAAGGATTAAGATGCTTCATCCTATGGAAGCCAAATTAAATATATCATGAATAAACACAGAGCTTGAGAGCATGATTCAGTTTTCTAACATGAATTTATGCCATCTATCCAGAAAAATTGGATATTGCGTGTGTGTAAATATGTACACATATGTGCACACACACACAATATCCAATATGTGGCAGTTGGTATCCCTCACACACACACCACACCCCAATAATATAAAGATTATAAAGGTGATATAGATTCCAAAACCACATTCACTATCACTATAGTGTTTTCCTAAAACATTGTGAAACCTTTATAAGTAAATGTTTTTACCAAGAATGCTTATTTTATTAACCATTTATACCTCCTGTGCTCAGTCTGCCAGGTTTGGGTTCTTTCTTCCTCCTGTTGTTGTCGCTTTAATTCCAGTAATTCACTCTAGGAACAAAATATAGTTTTCAGTACATGGTTATACAGAAAACGCCTAAATCGATTACATATTTAAGCTTAGGTAGTACAATATTTCATTTCTGAAACTTTTACTGAAGTACCATTTCCATGTGAAACTATTTTCTTATATAACTAGGTAGCAAAAATAATTGTGCCTTAGTCAAACAATAGCTCTGTGAGAGAGATTAAAAAGCCAATGCATGGTCAAGATATTAGACCAAAAGGTAAAATACACACAGAAGAAAACACAATGGGAGTCAAACTCATGTGTGTCTTATGAAGAAAAACAAATCAAATTAGTTCCTTAAGGAATGTCACACAAAACCATTTCTTGGTATTTCTTTAGCATTTCTTTCCCAATAAATTTGTAGCAACCTACAAATAAATATTGGACTCAATTCTGTAGTGAAATTCTGTTAGTACAACATCCTCCATCCTGGAGAATAATCGCTCACCTATTATTGACTAGTTACTTCTAATAGGAGCATAACTTTGGACTCCCTGGAGGGGATACTTTGCTTCAAAAAGATCACATTCCTACAACTAAATCTCTAGCTTCTGTCATGCTGATTACCATCCTGGAAGAGGCAACTCAAATTCCAAACTCAGTTACTCTGTTTACAATATTAAACCAAAGGACTGGGTGCCAAGATTTCTATAATACCCAACTGTCTACCTTGAGGCAGACTGAATTTTAACCCCATTTCAAAGAGACAAAAACAGCGAGAAGAGAATTATCAGGCCCACGTCATAAGTTAGTGCCTGAGACAGAGATTTTTTGATAGAGAAAATACTGTCAAGTCTTGATAAACACATACCAACATATGCATTTTTTTTTCTTTTTGCTGAGGAAGATTCTCCTTGAACTAATATCTATGCCAGTCTTCCTCTATTTTGGATGTGGGTCGCTGCCACAGCATGGCCACTGACAAATGGTGTAGGTCCATACCTGGGAACCGAACCTGGGCTGCTGAAGCAGAGTGTGCCAAACTTAACCACTAGGCCATGGAGCCAGTGCCTACATGTATTTTTTTCAACCCCAAAACTCCCTTGATGAAAAGTATAAAAAAGTTCAAAGTTCAGATATATATATATATGTATATTTATTTATTTATTATTTTTTTAACTATTCAAGGCCTTCCAACATTCCACAGTCTCCAAAATAGAAAGACTGGTTTCTTATACTGTGATATTCCCAATACATTACTAATGAATCTCTAAAGTACATTATTTAATTCTAACTCTCATCTAACACCAACAAGGGAAAAATTAGAGAGTTTTCTAAATAATTGAATAATATCCATTCAACAATTCAACAAGTATATATTAACCACCTAGATGTCAAGTCTTGTGCTAGAGACTCACTTCTCTACAATAGCATAAAGTCTTTCATTTCATTTTAATTTGTGTCACTATATGTACATAGTTTTAAAAGTCTACTAAGTAACAGTACTACTTATTAGTACTACCCATAAAAAAAGCTCCAGTCCTCCCCCTCACCACCACCTCCAATCATTTTCAACTCCTATGTGTGGTTTCATCTGTCAATTATCTCCTTAATAGCATGCATAATCTCTTTTTTCCTTTTTTAAAAATCTGTATTATCTTTTGGCTTCCTACTACAGAAAAGATTTGTGCCTCTATTACTACCTCCATCCCAAGCCCAACTTCTTTCTTCCCAGTACATCACCATCCTCATCCCTTATCCTTACAATATTTTTTTTTAAGATTGTCACCTAAGCTAACATCTGTTGCCAATCTTCTTTTTTTTTTCCCCCCTTCTTCTTCTCCTCAAAGTCCCCCAGTACATAGTTGTATGTTCTAATTGTAGGTCCTTCTGGTTGTGTTATGTGGGACGGTACCTCAGCATGGTTGGATGAGCACCCAGGATCCGAACCAGGGAAACCCTGGGTCACTGAAGCAGAGGGTGTGAACTTAACCACTTGGCCACAGGGCTGGCCCATTTACAACATTTTTTAACTGCCCGTATGGTGGAAGAGGGGCTCCAGGGTTCTTACAGCTCCTCATTTAGACTTCTAATTCACCCTCCTCTTCTCAACCCCAGCCTTCAGAGGCACCAGCTGCCTCCAATTCCAGAGTTGCATCAGGACTGCTCCAACTTGGCATCTTACTGCTTCTTGCAGGTGAGTTCTGGCTTTTCCCACTCTACTTTCCAGCTTCCAAAATTTTGCTGATATCTTTTCTTTGCTGCAGTGTCCTGGCCTGTTCTTTTGTTCTTACTGGTTTATGCCTTTCAAAAAAATGTTTTTCCTTTATTGTTTTTTAGTGGGATTTGGAAAAGAGACTGGAGATAAGCAAATGAAATATTTTGAAAGTTCAATGTTTAACCTAGAAGACCTTAACATTTTCAAACAAAAAATTTTACCAGAATTCTGTTTCTTGATCCTCACAACCATTCACAGAGATAGGCAAGTAGATAAAGTATTATTTGATAAATGAATGAGTGAATAAATGAGCACTGTTATGCTTGTTTTACAGATGAGGAAACAGGATCAGAGACTCATTTTAAGTAACTTGTCAAGAGCTAAATGGCTCTTTAGTAGCAAAATAAAGACTAGAGCTTAGATTTTTCTTGTATATAATCTTCTGCAAGATGCAACCAAAATAGGCAGTTAAGATTAAGGATAACTTGTCTGTAGTTCCTCATATCAGTTATAAACAGCCACATCCAGAACTATAGGACCCACTTAAAGAGTTCTAGCAGAACATGTCTAACCAAAGCTCAAACCTAAATCCCTCTTGTCAAAGGATGCTAATTCTTCTCACACGCATTAACCCATTTCTCCCATGAGCCACTTCTAGTATCCAGCCCATCCTAAGTTTAATAACATGAACTCTAAACAAATTAAATTCTCATCAGTTCTGGACATGAGATAGATTTTTAAGAACTATAAGACACATATATTATGTACATATATGTATATTATTACACAGTTCTCTACAATAATTTTTAAAATAATTTTTTCCGCCTTGGCAAAATGATCCTGAAGTCTATCTGGAAAAAATAAATATGCAATCATAGCCATGAAAAAATTCTGAAAAAAAGAAAAGAAATGAAGAAGAACCAACTTCACCAACTATTAAAACATATCATGAAACTACAGTAATTAAGACAATTTGATTGAGTCCCGGAAAATATCTAATCCGTGGAAATGCAGCTTACCAGAAAGTTGTGCTAAAGTCACGCAGGAGAGATAGAAAATGAATGATAAAGAAATAGCCAACCATTGTGAAAAAGATTAAAACTATATCCTTTATTTTTCATGTCAAAATAAGTGTTGTAAAGGTCTAAGATTTGAACCTAAAGGATGGAACCATAGAAGTTTTCGAAGAAGTCCTGGATAAATTTACTTATCAACTTGGAGTGAGGAAGATCCAGAAATCATTTTTAAAAATTGATAAATTTGGCTGAATAAAAATTCACAGCTTCTATTGGGAAAAAATAACATACACAAACTCAAAAAAAACCAAACCTGAATTTTTATGACACATAAGCTAATTTTATTATTCTTTCATTCATTCACTCAACAGTATCTGAATGCTTATTATGAGCCAGGCTTTGAGCTAGGTGATGGGAATACAGCAATGAACAAGACAGATGAGATGTTTGCTCCTTAAGAGTTCATATTCTAGAAGAAAGGAAACCCATAAACAAGTGAGAAGAATATCAGATCATAATCCTATGCAGAAGATTAAACTTGTTGATGTGAGGGTCAGTGGCACAGTTACTATTTCAGCTGGAGGCACAAGGAACACCTGAAACGGTGGCTAAAGACTTCATATAAACCAATAAGGAAACAGCGACCAACAGAAAAAGGGCCAAGGATAGGAAGAAGTTCACAGATAAGCTACAGGTTGCCTATAAATTCAAAATAATCGTCATCTTCACATATAATCAAAGAAATATAAATCAGAACAGTGAGATAAAACTTTTCTCCCATCATATTGGCAAAAACTAGAAAAGTTTCATAGAGAATCAGGTACATTCAAGTACTTTGGCGGAATGCCTAAATCAGTGAAAACTAACAATTTTGGGAGGACAGTTTAGCAATAACCATCAACATGTAAAATGTACACATCCTTTACAGAAGTGTTCCAAGATGTAAGCATAAGTGTACAAAGATGTAAGAGATAAGTAAGGATAGGCACAGTTGTATTACTGAAACACTAGAAGTTTAAGAGAGAGTCTTAATGCCCATTAATAAGGAACTGGCATGATAAGGTGGACTACCCACACAATGGAATCCTATGCAACAGTTAGAAGGAATAAGGTAGATGGGGGGAGGGAGAAGCACCTGAGAGATCTGTAAGATACATTAAGTGATAAAAAGGTTCAGAGCAGTGCTCCTGGGAATGTTCCACATAAACAGAAAAGATACGCACACATCCATCTCAACTTTTATATGCTGGCATATACCATATTTAAAACGTTTTTATGGAAAAACGCATACTAAAATGTCCAATGTACTTATCACTGAGGAGAGAATCATGGAGGGTAGATGGACGGGGAAGGAAGTTTTAACATCATACACAGTGTTTTTGAACCATGTTTATATATTACTTCTTCATACCGTCAACAGAAGTTTATCTGCGTGGGACACAATTTCTGATTCATTTAAAAATCCCAATAAATATATAGTTTTTAATACTTAAAGATGTAAAAGAGCAAAACACTACATTATGAAGCCAAGAACTGTTAGGGAGGAAGAAAAGAGGATGGGAAGAGAATAACAAGCATCATCCTATTACAGAGACCAGGACAGGGGAGAGGAGGAGACAGAGCAGCAGGGAAGTGGGGATGGTCGGGCAGCTGATGAGGCGTCACCATGCAAGAACATCACTCCAGATGGCAGAAGAGAAGGCTCTGGCATCATCGCACTTGGGATTATTATTCTACAAATAGCAAAGTGTATTTACCAGGGAGAGGCTGGTTTTCCTTGGGTACAGCGAAGGATAATTTCAACTAA